GCCTCCCGGCCCCTCCCGGCAGCGGCGTCCCCGAGAAGAAGTGCGGCACCATCATCCTCCTCGCCGAAGAGCTGGGCAACTGTCGGGTGAGCCGGGGAGCCGGGGGACAGGTTGGGGACACCCCAGTGCCATGTTGGGGGGCTGAGACACTCCCCCCCGCCGGCTGCACCCCCTGGGCCTTCCTCACTCCGGGGTGAGGAAGATGAGGGTCAGGGCTGACCCGTCCCCATGGCGTGTCCCGTGGGGGTCTCAGCCTCCCCTCCCGCGCCGAGCAGCACCCACCCAGGACCCTGCCCCCCCCATGTCGCCGGGGGTGCCGGGTGGGTGACCCCGTCCCCGTCCCCGCCGCAGGACGTGGCCACGCTGCAGTTCTGCGCCAACAAGCTGGACAAGAAGGATTTCTTCGGCAAATCCGACCCCTTCATGGTCTTCTACCGCAGCAACGAGGACGGGACGTGAGTGACACCCCCCCAAAACGCGGTGACACCCCCCCAAAAGGCAGTGACAGCAAGGGGGACACAGCCCTGGCCATGGGACACCTCCGATGTCCCCGTGGAGCTGGGCTGGCTTTGCCATCCCTGTCCCATCCCTGTCCCCAAGGCCACCCCATCCCCGCTGCCTCAGCCACGTGTCCCCGCCTGTCCCCAGGTACGATGTGGACTCCAAAAGCCCCGACCTCTCCAAGCACGTAAGTGCGGGGACGCCACCGCTCCCCCCCGGCTCCGCGGGGCTGGGGACGGGGACGGTGACAGACCCCGGTGACACCGCGGCTCTGGCAGGATTTCCTGGGCCAGGCCTTCTGCACCCTGGGCGAGATCGTGGGCTCGGCCGGCAGCCGCCTGGAGAAGCCCCTGACGTGAGCCCCCCGTGCCTCGGTTTCCCCCGGGGGGCCCTGCGCCGGGCTGGCTGCCCGGTGTCCCCACGTCCCCCTCACCCCGGTGCTGGCGGGGCGCCCGGGTCCTTATCCGGGTGTCTGGGATGGAGACCAGAGCCTGGTGCCGACAGCCGGCTCCGGG